AAAATAATTTCATTATTCATATGTATGTTACAAAATAGGTCTATCCTTGAACAACAAAAAAGGGTATTACTATAGTAGGAGAAACTGACTTGACTTTCATTAGAGGAGTAGTAGAAAATGTAGTAGTAGAAATGTTGGAAAGTGGCAATAACTTAGCTACGACAATGGAAGATCAACGGAAGGGTTTCTATGATGGACGGGTGACACAACCATTATCACTGAGGATAGTGGGCGCATGACAACATCAATGACTGAGTCGTAGTGATTCAGAGATGACGGTGACATGGTGGTGTCAATTTGATAATAGTGGCCTAGCATGGAGGCCATGGTCTAATGTTGGCGGCCCAATGGTTACAGACATGACTCGTTGACAGTGGAGGCGATGACTTGACATCAATTTGGTGTCTGTGGTTCAATGGCGATGGTAGCCCAAAAAGGTAGTTTGTAACAATAGTAGAGGCCTATCATCGATGGTCTAACTATAATGACCTAATTGTGGCAGTAGCAGTCTAGCGGTGGGCTAACTTGGAGGTGTAGGTTAGGTGATGGTGACAAAAATGACCCGATGATGATGGAGATGGTATCTCAACTTCATTCAGGTGTCGGTGGTAAGTAGGCTTGACGACAACAGTCAGGCATTGGTGGTCCTATGGCAATGACGACACAATAATGATGGCTTAGCCATAGCGATGACAAGATTGCAGTGGATGGGAGGTGGTGACGATTTTCTGACGGTGGTGAAGTTCAGAAAAACTCAAGAGCTTGTAGCTCCATCAGATTTCTCATTTTAGGTTCAAGTCAAAGTCTTCTTCATGAAGAGCGTGAGGGTCTACTTATAGATTTTGAGAGTATCGTCCTCAGTAAATGCTGCTAGATTCCAGACCACTCCATCGAAAGACCCGACATGTTTCTCTTGATTGGATTATATTTTATGGGCATTTGAATTGCTTAATGATATTAAAGCTAAGTGATATTTGTCTCTTTAGATTCTTCTCGTAGAGATGCTCGATTTGACTATAAAATTATTATATTTCGAGTCAGTTGGTCCTCTAAAAAAATCTCAAAAAGTTCTTATTTTGCTTTAAGTGATTGATCTAGGCTCACTTTCTCAAATAGAATCATGTTTGATGTCAGTTTGCTCATCTTATTAAGCACTTCATTAGAATTGAAACATAAGTAATTAAATATTTCGAGCTCTCAGCCAAATGTGTATCCAAATTTATGTTGATTAATATGATTTTTTTAGGGACATAATAGTTGCCCCTCTATATTCAATCATCAATGTCGAAGACACTTAAAATATATCTCACGTTAACATAAAGTTACAATCAAGGAAAACTCTTTGAAATGCACTACTCTTTTGGCATTGGCGCGGACCCCCTTTCAAAGTCAAGTGTTAGGCAAGTTTTCTTAACATTTATTTGAAAGCATCAAATTTGAGCTTGTAATGTTGGAAAATGGCCTCACAGATCGAAAGATTCTAAAAATGGGTTGGACAGGCAGCCGCTGCTAGAGGTAGTGATGGAGTGCACCTTTAAAGAAGCTTATGTCGAGTTGCCTTCAGTCTTTTCTTGTCCTTAGAATCATTTACAAACTTAGCTATCAAGTTGTCTTGTGATGACATATTTCTTAAGATTGATTAATTGTTTTTTTGATTGTTTAACATGAATTTAGCCTATGACATACATGATGCCTCTAAAAATTCTTAAGCAGCTTAACTTCTTTGTTTTTTTATTTGTTTTTTTTCTTAGATTGAACATGCATCATCTTATACAATAAATATAAGAGCACATATGAGGACTTGAATCAATCTAATAATCGAATCAAATCATTTTTGGCCATTTCTGATAATTCTATTGGAATTTACTTCCATCACAACATATTTGAACACTTTTGAATACTAAAATTAATTTAATATCAAATACATAACCTATAATTGACAGATTTTATGCTTAATGGGTCCATCCCTATCTTGATTGGGCCAATCATAGGTTACTTTCCACTTGCCAAAATTTTTTAGGGTCTAATACCAAGTCAATCAACCTATTGGAGTTACATTTATTTAGTTGATTTTTGTCATTTAGCTGACTTGATCAAAGATGGTTCAACATGAATCAAATCTCAAAAAAATCTACTTGATCATTATATTGAGATAAATCTAATCAATTTTACCTATTTTTGCCTCTAATTATACCCAATTAGACAACCAAACATCCTATGCTAACCAAATTAGGGTTAAGCCCAATTATTTTGTTGTGAAGAATGTGAAAGCTAACTTGACCTAATTAGTCCATCTTATCCTAATTAAGTACTTGAGTTCTTTAGCGATGACTCTATAAATTAAGATTGAGCTTAATTGAATTATTAGAGTAAACTCAATTGAGTTACTTAACCAAACTGACCCTTCGCCAACCGAGGTTAGCTTCTAGAGGTCTCAGTTGATGCATTAGCTTTGGTTCAGTCAACTATTTAAGCATACCTGATTCTTGTTCTTTTCAATTCAAGCTTTAGCTAAACTATTTAATACATCGTGTTAGGAAAAAAATAATTTATTAAGACACCCTAAAATTGATAAAATGATTTTTTTATTACTTCAATGGTCAAACTTTAGATCCATAAAGCTAAAAAAATCAATTATATATATATATATATATATTGTCATGTTTCAAGCTAAGGGAACATGTTTCAAAATACTATCACTGGTTACTTGCGTAGTATCCCAATATATATATATATATATATATATATAAAATAAAAGAGCAACTCGTGGCTCCTTACGCGTTAATAAAAAAAGAGGTTACAAAATGCGAGAGGGAAAATGGATCTCCAACTAAAAGCAAAAGAAAATACATTGTGGCCCTAGCGGTTTCATAATCCACATTACAACTCCAAAAAAAAAAAGAAAACAATAAAATAAAGGTATAATATACTCAAAAATACATGTAACTCAAAAAGTATACCAAATAGAGGAAGTATACCAAAAATTGACATGTACACCATAGACCATATCAACAAATGTGGAGTACAAAAAGAGAAAGAAGATGCGCCCGACAAAGCTTGAAAACAGCAAGAGCATTGAACCTTTCCCCCTGAAGACCTCCAAAATTTCGCAAAGGTCCTGCAGAATAAGCAGCACCACCCACTTCAACCAGAAAAGCATAAGATCATAAGTATTGATAACATTTTGCAGGAGTTCCAGACAACCAACCAAAATAAATAGAGTAATACAAACAAAACCATCTGCATGACCTCCACTCCCAAATCATGCTCCAAGGAAATAACACAAACAAAAGTCATACAGCAGGGAGCACCAACCGAAACCCATAGCACAAAAGCAAGCCAAAAAATGTTGTCCAAACTAAATATAAAAGGACCACAGAGGGAAACTCCAATGCCAAGCAAGGTAATATTCCAAAACCGCACAAGCACAAATTCCTTGAAGTTAAAAAACGTAAAACTGAATGTCAGAGACGATGTAAAACTAATCGTCAAGAGAAACCAAAGTAGATTTTTATATTCTAATATACGGAGCTTCAAGTAAGTCACCATTCAGAAGAATTTAGAGCTGCAGACAGGGGGAGATCCCACATAACGCCGCGTTAGTATCTCTGCCCGTACGGGCTAACCAA